CTTTGTATGACAGCACCCCTACAACTCTGCTTTGCTGAGTGCAATGCTATCCAGAAATGGACAATGAGGTATTTTGTTGGGACTGGTTCACAACCACACCAGAGAAACAAGCCAAAAGAACAAATCACGACAAGAGCTACTCCCTATCACATCCCTAGATGTAAGACTTGGAGCTGTATGCCTAGAAATTTCTCTCTTGGTCTCGTAAACAAGGACCCAGTTCAGTAAGCCATACAGACCCCATGAAGACAATTCAAGGAAGATAACAATAGCATGACAAGCACCACTTGGTCAGCCAAAGCCTTGCAGCTAAAAAATGAAAGCTATTGTGAAAAGTAGTAAAAAGATAAAGGAAATTCATTAACTTAATATGCTATAAAATATATAAAATAAATGTTAAACTGTCCTTATTATGTAAAATAACACTTCATTCTGGAGGCTGGGGGTGTATCTCTGGCATAACGTATGCATACCATGTGCAAAAATGTGATTCCTAGCACTAAAAAGCAGTTCATAACAAACTTCATTGTGTGGTATCCCCGACTCCCGCACTTTCCCTAATCATGAAAGGTGCTCAGAGTATTCACTTGCTGCTTGTCCCATGAGTGTAAATCACTGGAGTATGTGCAGGAATGCCACCGAGTCTTCCAGAGACCAATAAGCCATGTGTGGTGATATCAGGTTAATAATATCCCGTAGTTATTGTGGGCTGATCAGATCTGCAATCTCCCAAATGAGTGTATGGTGAAAGCTAAATAAAAAGAGGTAAATGGAATGATTTCAGGGCTCCAGGAGAATCAGTGTCCTCTCACAGAATTCGAGATTCTCTCAGGGCTAAGACCAAGACCTTCTCTGGGTGGCCTATTTATTTTGTTATCACAAGAAGGGAGGGGAGTACTCAAGAAGGGTAGAACCACTCAAAGACTTCTCCAAGTAAAGTATTAAATTAATCCTTAATAAGGATTAAGTTAATATACCCAGGAGTAAGATGTCTGAGGCTATAGTCTTTTTTTTTTTTTTGAGACAGGGTTTCACTATGCAGTTTAGGCTGGCCTTGAGCTCACTTTGTAGCCCAGGCTGGTCTCAGATTTGCAACAATCCTCCTGCCTCAGCCTCCCAAGTGCTGAGATTATAGGTGTGCACCACCACGCCCAGTTATAGTCTTTATCTAGTTGAGATTGGATCCAGATGTCCTTGGCTATGATTTTGTCTTATCCTTTGAGGCTTTCTGGCTTCATCCATTATTACAGATCTTAGTAGGGATTAGTGACTCACAGAGGTTCACTTAGTATGAGTCCACTGCTCACTTCCAGACAAGTGGCCTAACCTTTGGACAGATTCACAAGTAAACATAAAAAACCAGTTGGTTAATTTACATCCTGCTTGGGGCTGCTTCATAGTGGGCTCCATCATGGTGGCATATACCTATAATTGCAGCAGTTGGGAGGCTGAGGCAAGAAAACTGCTAGTTTAAGGGTACTCAGGATGGCAGTGAGTTCCAAAGCAGCCTGAACTACAGAGCAACACCACTTCAAAAACTACCCTCCATCCCTCAAGTGACTTCAATTCCAGGACCCCTGCCCTGTACTAATTACATCAGTGACTTAACTTCTCTAAGCAGAAACTTCCTAAGGCACATAATGAGAGATGAGTATGGGGCTTATATGCTCAAAAGCCTCAGGGACAGTGCAGGTGAAAAAAAAATTTTTTCAAATAATGGTAAGAGGCACTAAGGACTGCATCAAATACAAAAATACAGTCCAGATCTACAGGTGTTAAAATTCAGCTGTTCTGACTTTCTTTTAAAGACTATGCCTAGGGCCAGGGATATAGCTCAGTGGCACAAGCACCAGCCTGGCAAGCATAAGGTCTTGAGTTTGATTCCCAGTACCTAAATAAATAAGTAAATAAATAAATAAATACTATGACTAATCTGATTTTCTGTAATTTGTGACTTCCTGAGATAAAATCTAACATTGCTTTTATTATGTAATATTCTTTGGCTCTGTGATAATACATATTGCAAAATCAAATGGTGTTACTATTTGGTAGTAACTGGAGGTGACACACAGGCTTTGTAACATGCACTGTTCTGGTGCTTATTTTTGCCAACTATTCCAAAGTAAAAAGTATACCTGCATGGTTTCAGTAGAGGCTAATCATGAGGAAACTAACAGAAGGGACTGTTGGACAACTGGTCTCCTTACACATGTTATTGTCAAGCCTGGCTTCATGGTGCCATCCTATATACACCTCCACCTCTGAATTTGGGAGGCTGAGGCAGGAGGAAGCAAGTTCAAGTGCAACCTGGACAACCTAAAAAGACCCTGTCAATCAATCAATTAATCAAAAAAAAAAAAAAAAAAAAAAGGAAAGAAAATGAAAAGGGCTGCGATGTAGCTGAGTGTTACATTTAAAAAAAGTTAATGTCATAGAAAATTAAACTAAGGACAGTGGTCCAATGTAAAAGAGACTAAAGTCATGATAACCAAATTGGTGCTCCTCAACAGAGCATGACTGGATCCTGGATGAAATGGCAATAGAAAAAATTTGACAATGAACTACATGTTAGATAAGTCTATTGTATGACATTAAATATCTTGGGTATTCTTGACATACAAAACTCAGTGTCAAGTGGTTTGCAAAGATGGTGCACATTGTGCAAATTAAGGTTACAAAAGAGTAACTGCTCAATTCACAGGAAGCACAAGTGTTCATTTTACTAATAATTCTTAATTTTTAAAAAAGGCCAAGTAAAATTATTGAGTATTCAAACTTGCGAATCCTCAATGCCTACTACATAGGTTTTAAATGCCATTAAGTTATGAAACATTTGCAAAACAGAACACATTTACAAAGCTTAAAGAAAAGGTTCATTTAAGCACCTAACAATTCAAGAAAATACAAAAGTACTCAACATTATCAGCAGTCTTCAAAAAGCACCAGTTTTCACTAGCCCTTTTCCAGTGCAATGGAAATGGTGGGAACTACTTGGCCGCTGCCTGGAACAGGCTGTCTGGGATCACTGATGTACCTCCTTTCTTCCTGTGCATCCTTCCAGCCCCAGGACTCAGAAACCTTGTCATCATGCCTGAGTGCTTTTCTTGTGGCTGGTTCCCCCTGGTCCAGTCCTCTACTCTCTCTTCCCGATGTTACAGAATAGCTTTCTAAAGGGGACCCCTGCTTCCACTCTTGCTCCTTCATCCACTGCCCCATGGCCAGAGGGACGGGGCTCAATGCACATCAGACCCTGTTACTTCTCTCATATTGGCTCCCACGCATCCAACCACATCATATCGACCAGCAAGGTCTTCCAAAGTCCCGATCCCCTTGTTACCTTCTATGACTTTCTAGAGGATTTTAAACAAATTTAAGATTCATTTTAATTATTTTCTACAAAATGTAAATGACATGAGAATGGATTTTGGACTTTTATTCAATGACTCATCCCATTCTCTTACCCCAATTTGGAAAAACACTCAACAAAATTGTTAGTGGCATACAGTAAGGATCTCTTCTTAGACTAATGGCTTTTTTCCTGCTCTCTTGTTTAATAGCAAAACTCACAATATGGAAAGAAATGTTGACAGAAATGGCCCCACATCTTCAACAAAGAAATGGCACAGATAAAGGGGGGGAAAAGTGAAAATTACATGCTATAGAGATTAAAGGATAAACTTGAAATATACAAAAGAGTAAGTTTGGATTTAAACTAAAATGCCTCTATAGCTGGACGTGGTGCTGCACAGCTGTAATCCCAGCACTCAGGTGGCTGAGGTGCGAGGATCACCATGAGTACAAGGCCATCCAGGGATGCACAATAAGTTCAAGGACAGCCTCAACTCCACAGTGACACCTTGCCTCAAAAAAATAAAAAGTAATGACTACAGAGATATTTATTAAAATGCTGCTAGATGACTCTAAAAAGAAATACGGACCAAAGCAGTTGCTTCACTGACACTGAAAATGCCAAATATAACATAAAATTATTTCAGTGGAAAAGACCAACAACATGCATGATCAGATGGGTAATTTCAGCAAAGATGGGAACTACTGTGAAATTAAAATGTTAGAAATAACAGTTATAGTAACATAAATGGCTTCAAGTCCCATTAGTGTACTAAACTGCTTAAGAATCACTGATGCTAAAGGGGTGTGTGTGTGTTTGCCTGTATTAGTGATCCTAAATAATACAAAAGTATATTTAAAAAAAAACTTTGGATTCTTTGAGGAGTCATTTTAGCAACAGCTCTTGCAGTATATACATCAGAGGCAGCAGGACAAAGGGAATGTGCTACAGCAGTCTGAACCTTAGATACTCCCTATAAAAGGTTATTAACATACATGTGGCAAATTGTAACTTATGGGAGAACATTATTAAGAGTACTTAATTCTGGGGCTGGGGATTTAGCTCAGCGGCACAGTGCCTGCCTGGCAAGCACAAGGTCGTGAGTTTGATTCCCGGTACTGGAAACAAACAAAACAAAAGAGTACTTAGTTCTACTACACATAGTGAATTCAAAAACACACAGAACCAGGTATTTATCATACCCAGAAGACAGATATAAACAGACAACTCAAGATATTCATTCAATGTTGTAAACTTTGTGCCATGTAGTTTTTGAGTTTTTATTGTAGTGAATATTTGTTAATGTAATAACACTTTCATATTGAATATGAAATGCGTTTTTTAAAAAATTTTAGAAAAAGACGTACTTTTCTCAAATTAATAGAGCCCCCCTTGTATCTCTGAGTGATAAAGTTTAATGATGCATTAAAACTTTCAGACACTGAAAACTAAATTATCAGGTATTTAATGACACATCATTTTTTGTTGCTAAGGGATTTCCTCTACCTGTGTTCAAATATTAGATTCGTTTCCCCATGATCAGACTGATAAGGAGGAGCTGTGGATAGAAAGTGTGAGCCATCAGGATATTGTGGGAAATTTCTCCTGAATGATTTTTCTAATATACAATGAGCTCAGATAGCCAATGAAATTATATTCATAGGTTTTATTAAGGGTGGATGAGTTTATGTCAGTATCAAGTACACTCAAACCCACAGAAGCTCAGCAGAGAACAAGTTTATTTTAGCTATAAGATGGCCCAACCATACACACAGAGTGGGGAGGGGGAATAGTCACTGCAGAGAGTGAACTGTTGGCCCTACTTCCTGGCATCTTAAATGCTTTCACCCTCAGCATATTAACTGGAAGCAATTTCCGCCCCACTCTGATGAGTACCAGAAGAAAACATTGAAAAATTGAGAGATTTATTTAAATGAAACTTCTCTTTAATTGATTCCTACAATCTGTTAGCTATGGGTTAACAATGTGACTCCATTTGGAGCATAGAATGGTTGAGATATTTTGGTTAGGTATAGCAGGGGGCAAAAAGGAAATGGTTATTGATGAGTATTATATAGTCATTATAGGACCTATGGGCCTTAGCCTTACATCAAACTGAGGGCTCTTATGGTAGGATTTGCCTCATTCATTACCTTCATTTCTTGCCTGTTTGGATTTACTGAGGTCTTTAGACTCTATATATTGTATGCTGTATTGAAAAAGTTAACCTTTCTAGGTTTTTCTGACTGTGATTTCTTTGATGAATCAGTTTTGACTGGTTGCACAAAACTGTCACATTTGTATTACTTTCTCAGAGCTTTTCTGCTGCACTGGTTTTTGGAGGTTTAAATTCACTAAACATTGTGTTCATCAACTTTAAAGTGTTTCTTTGCTGGGCAAGTTCTTTGATATCCAACAACTGCACTTAACATGGGCTGAAAAAATTGCACATATTGCCCATACTTTTTACACTCATGTATTTAATCTCTTGTGAGTCTTCTCATGCCTTCGAAGGGTTGAACTCCGACTAAAATTTTTGTCACATTTGTCACATTTGTAAGGTTTCTCCCCTGTGTGAGTTCTCTGATGTACTCTGAGGCTGGATTTCTGACCAAAAGTTTTTCCACACCAAATACAATTATAAGGCTTCTCCCCAGTATGAGTTCGCTCATGTCCTCTGAGACTAGATATCTGACTGAAAGATTTTCCACACTGATTACAATTATAGGGCTTCTCCCCAGTGTGAATTCGCTGATGCCTTGTGAAACTTAACTTCTCACTAAAAGCTTTTCCACATTTGTAACATTCATAGGGCTTTTCTCCTGTGTGAGTTCTCTGGTGTCCTTTAAGACTAGATATCTGAATAAAAGCTTCCCCACACTGATTACAATTATAGGGCTTCTCGCCTGTGTGAATTCGCTGATGATTTCTGAGAACTGACTTCTCACTGAAAGCTTTTCCACACTCATGACATTCATAGGGCTTTTCCCCTGTGTGAGTTCTCTGATGTCCTCTAAGATTTGATTTCTGCCTGAAAGTTTTGCCACACACATCACATTTATAAGGTTTCTCTCCAGTATGAGTTCTGTGATGTACTCTGAGGTTTGACTTTCGACTAAAAACTTCCCCACAATGATTACACTTATAGGGTTTCTCCCCAGTATGAATTCTATGATGTCCTCTAAGTTGTGATATCTGAACAAAAGCTATTCCACATTGTTTACATCTGTATGGTTTCTCCCCTGTATGTGTTCTACAGTGCTGTATTAGGTCTGACGTCAATTTGAAAGCTTTCCCACATTCATCACACTTAAATGGCCTTTCCCCTGTGTGAGTTTTCGCATGATTCCTCAGCCCTGACATACGGCTGTAGGATTTTCCACATTCGTTACATTTAAAAGGTTTCTCCCCTGTGTGCATTCTCTGATGTATTATGAGGATTGACTTATATTTGAAAGGTTTCCCACATTCATTACACACAAAGGGTTTCTCTCCAGTGTGAGTCCTGTGATGCTGTTTTAGATGTGAATTCTCACTGAAAGTTTTTCCACATGCATGACATTCATAAGGTTTCTCTCCAGTGTGGCTTTTCTGAGGCTGGCTTGGACATGCATTCTTAGAGAAGGATTTTCCACATTCATTTGACTCAGAGGGTTTCATCTTTATGTGAGTTCTGTGATGTACATTCAAAGTTGATGTGTCTATCTCTGTATATTTGTTATCTATTGGGTGAGTTATCTGAGATACTAGAACTGAATTATGGTTGAAATTCTTTCCATGTTCACAGTACTTTCTCTCAAAATCAATTTTCTGTTCTTCTCTAATACATGATTTTTGGCTAACAGGTTTTCCTCCTGGGTTACTTTTGTGAGTAGTCCTATTGAAAGCATTCTCATTTCCATTTAATTCAAAATAACCTTTATTTTCTCCTTTGTTCCCTCCATGACTCTTCTGAGAAACAGTAAAGATTGATTTCTCACAGGTACTCTGAGATGCAGCAATAGTAGCCTTTTCAGGCAAAGCTATTTCACTTTTATTATGTTTAAAAGCTTGTCCCAAATTCTGAATTGTTGGATATTGAACAGTTTCCACCTTATGACTAAGGGCTTTTGTAGTTTTACTGTGAAGAAAAGACTTCTCTCCAGAATTACTTCTGCAATCCTTAATGCTGAGGAGCCATTTCTCAGTGAAAGTAAGGTCACCAGCCTTCTCCCTCGAACCGTGCAAATGTGAAGCCAATGGACTGAGACCCCAGCTCTTTGGTCCTGCAGGGTCACACTGATGAGGCCAGACTGTTGCAGGTAAAAGATTTCTGTGCGAATTACACATTTTTGCAGAAGTTTCTTGCTCTGCAGACAATGATTTGTTGGTGAAGAACACTTGCCACAAATGTTTTCCTTGGTTTTCCAGGCTCTTCTCTAAGAGTTCATCAGGTTGACAGTCTTCTAAAAATGAGAAAAGTAAAGATAATGTATTATACTTAACACAGCTCTTAGAAATGGGACTTACAAGACATGACTGAATTAAAGGATGTTTAAATTTTTTTTAAATTACATTAAAAATGCACTGCCATTAATCTCCCTCAAAATACTTTTCCTTGTTTCAAATATAGATATCCCTTTGCTGTTCCATCTTTCTGTAGCAGTTCTGGAAATCTTCATTCATGAGTGTCTTCCTGAGATGTGATTAAAAAACAAAATGCAGTGAATGGTGCAGCTCAGTGCCTTCCATTGGAAAGGCAGGCTTCTGAAAACGTTTAGAAGGAGCAGGCATGGTGGCACACACCTGTAATCCCAGCACTTGGAGGCTGAGGAAGGAAGATCTCACCATGAGTTCAAGGCCAGCCTGAACTACACAGTGAGACCCTGTCTCAAAAAAAAAAAAAAAGAAAGATGTTAACCTTTGACCAATCAATTCCATCCTGAGTCATTTAAGGAAATAAAAACATTAGGATGTATCCTCAACCACCTGATGCACTGGATCTGGACTGGGTGACTTCTCACTTTTCTGTAAAGTCAAAATGAGCATAAAAGGTAAAGGTTTCAAACAAACATGGCAATAAAAGACTCATAAGAGAGGACTTCCAAAAGTGCTTCAGAAAGTGGCAAGAGGTTTCTCTTATATGGAAATATAATATACAAATAAAGTGCACAATTAAAGAGAAACCGGAAGTAGGGAGAAATTAAAATACTTCCCCAAAGTATGTATTCCATTATGTTAAAAACATTGCAATTTATATGCTAATTTGTTTCATTTATACTAATAGTTCATCTTACTTCACTGAAAAGAAAGTTGGTGTTATTATCTTTTTAAAAAATGTTTATTGAAAAGCAACTATATTTCCATTTCATGGAAACAAAGGGAAACAAAACATCGTCAGTTACAAGAGTATTTGTTTATGAAAATGTTTTATTTTCTCATAAAATTAAAAAAAGCAAAAATGACAAGAACAATGGGATAACTGAGGGAGTATTTTCAGAAGGATTAATGGCAATGTGCCTTTATTGTAATACACTTCTTTTAATAAAACACCATATATGTCAATCACACCTCACATGTCCCATTTATAAAAACTGTGTTAAATAGCAGAAAGTATTTTAAACTTTTTTTCATTTTTAGAAATCTGCCAACCTGTTAAACTCTCAGAACAACACAAAGGATATAAAGGGGGGCTGGGGATTTAGCTCAGCGGCAAAAGCGCCTGCCTGGCAAGCGCAAGGTCGTGAGTTTGGTTCCCGGTACTGGAGAAAAACCAAAAA